CTTTTTTTTTTTTACTTTTGTAATTAGTTTAAAATTTTTGTTTAATTTTAAATCTTTTGTTTCAATCAAATTCAATTATAAATTTAAAGATCTTTTTTTTTGAAGGAATAAATTTAAAGATCTAAATACTATTTTGTCACGAAATTTTTTATTTTGACTTATTTTAGTTCTTACACTTGCAATACTTCTTTATTTTAATTATTATACTTTCCAAACGTGTGTTTGGTTCTACTTTTAAAACGTGACCAATTTAGTTTCTATTTGTAAAATTTTAACACAAATTTTATATACTATAGAAATTTTCTAATACAAATTTATGGCCACATTTCTAGAAATTTAGTAGTGGTAATTTTTTAAAAGTACATGGATCAAAATGAAGTTTCAAGAATAGCAAGACTAAAATGAACTAAAATCGAAAGTACAAAAACTAAAATAATATATAAGATTAAGATCGTGTGGAGAGTTTGTCATTATTATATTATTGTCTTCTTAAAATAAAATTCAAGGAAAAAAAAAACCACATTTTAAATCATTGGGGGTAATTTAAGAATAAATATAGTAGTTTCCAAAATTTTAAATTTTTATCAAATTAAACATCAATTTACATCTCCAAAGTCCAAACAAGGCTTAAAAAATTACTCAAAAGTAAACGGCACAAGTAATAAGATCAGTACCACAAATTTAATATCGTCGCCCATAAAGAATGCTTTACAAACTAATAATTCAACTCAATAGTGTTAATGACATCATTTATTCCTCCAATCACAAACTAAATACTTTAAAATCTAAGATTAAAATTGAGTTAGTCATATATATTAATTCGATCCAATTGGAAAAATAAGATACATATTATCTTCTTTGACCTTGAGGTAGAAACTCAATTCTCAACCTCATATTTATTGGACAAAAAATAATGTATATTAATCCGATTATTGAAGGATTTGTTTGGATATTGTATTAAAATTATTTTAATCTTTTAAAATAAAATTCATTATACAGAAGATTTTTCTTGTTTTCTTTCAATAAATGGACACGAATGATAAATAGAAAATTATATTTTTTAAAAAGTGTTTTATATAACTTAAAATCATAAATTAGTAAAATTAATTTCAAATTATATAGTAAATATTAATTTTTACGAGGGGAGAAAAGAGAGAGAAAAGAAAATTAAAAAGAATCACTAACGAAGATGGACTCCAAAGTACTTTTTAGAACTATTTTTTAAAAGTTGGATGAAAATATCACTTTTTGAAACTTAAAATCCAATAAAAAATTCAGATATAAAAGATGCATTTTATCCTCATTTTTACCAAAATTATTTCAAAATAACAGACAAGTTTGAAAATAGTGATTGGTGGTGCAAATTGGGATGAAGAGGTAATAAAATTGGCATTATTTTTTATTGGAGGAGGAATTTATGGAGAAGAGTGGGACCCGGGCGGTGGAATTATTGAGGTTTAATTGGTCACTTGCGTGACGATTATGCCCTTTGTGGGTCCCACGTCAATGGTTGGGTACATGTCACCACTGTACCCACCCCCTCTCTCTAGCCCCCCTATTTCCTATTTATCAAATTTGACACTCATTATTTATTAATTATTAATTACATTTCTTAAAGAATATTTAGCCTACTCAAAATTTACAAGAGGCAAACATAATACTGGTCACTCAATTACTATGCTCTAGAAATTAATTATTAATTATCAATGAGTTAAAAGAAATTTAATATAACTATTTTTGGAAAAACAGAAGATATATAAGAATATATTTCAATTATATATCTCACGGTAGCCATAATATCAATCATCTTGTGATGACGCCAATCAAAATATAGCTCAACGGATTAARATATATATATCCAACCATGAAATCGATAGTTTGGATCCCCATGTGTACTAAAAAAATCATCTTTTGATAACAACTTTCAATAATTTATCTATAATAAAGTATAAATTATGTGAGAAATGGGTAATATTTTAAAATGTCTTTTACAATACCATTTCTTTCCGACTGAAGCTTTGCGGAGCTATAACCAATCGGATTGTCCTAAAGATTAATTGAGTAGTTTAATTGACGAGGGATTTATTCCATACAAATTAATAGCTAAGATCACAATAAAAAATTTATTAATTAAGATTGATTAAGCTGACTTGTTTGAATATTAATATTTTTTTTTAAGAAATATTGAATATTAATCTATTTTCCATACTTTAGTCAAAAAGGAAAAAAAATCAAAAGAGGTGATGAAGAATGACTAGATAATGTGTGCATTATTGAATTCCTTCCMACTACCAGAGAAAAAGATAAGTTGCGAAAAACTAAAGTTTAATATTGATACAACACCATATTGAAATTTATCAATATTAACAATAAAATTCACACGTAYCAACACGAACTTAGTTGGTATCTGTCTTCGTGATGAGTTTAAATCTCCCACCTATATTTATTATATTAAAAAAACAGACAGACTCACGTATTATGATGAAATACCTAATCAAAATTAATTTGAACAATCAAAGTCAAATATAAAATAATGAAATTCAAGATTCGCCAGGAAAATAGCAATAAGAGAGAGACAAACCTTAGACATATAATAAATAACGAGCATTCATGACACAAATTCATAGTCATACTAAAAAAAAAGGTTCAATTTAATGAAAAATTTGCAATAGTGGAAAAATCACGATTTTCCTCCCAAAAAAAAAGAAAAAAAAATCACGATGTAATTTTTACTTGGCAAATTGTATGCAATGATGTAACTCTTACCTTTTTTTATCTCAAAAAGGCAAAAAATCATTTTTTTTATTAGAAAATGAAAGACAGTCGGTGGTTATTTATAAACTTGACATTTGACAAGTTGTATAAACTTTCATTATAAAATTTCAATCTTGAACCAAATTTCAAAAAAAAAAAAAAAAAAAACCTTCAATCTCGAACCTTAAATTTAGATGAACGTTACAATTTTTACCCTCAATTCAATTTTTAATAAGTCCACCCACAAATATTAACCAAAAAGTTAAAAAAAAAAAGAAAAAAAAAACTCTCTACCATCATGAAAATAAAGTTTCGTACAAACAAGTTTGAGTAAGGCACAATTAAATAATTCCGCCTACAAATTTGAGCAAAAAGCTAACTCTATCATTTTTGTTTGTGTCTTATCAATTCTATACTAAATATTAATTATACAATTTATTGGAAATATCATAATACTCTTTCAATGATTATTCAAATGAAAAACAAGGTAAAAATTTCAAATCTTTTAAAGTTAGGAAAGATGGCAATATTTGTCTAGATTTAAAATGAAATTTGATCCAATTAAACTTGAAAGGTAAATTTTGATCCACCTTGAGGAGTTAAAATTGATTTTTCAAAAAGATTTAAAAAATTTTTACTCTTACATTCTTGGAATATACTCTAAGTTTTCTTTGTAGATTTCATTTAATTAACATTGAAATCAATAGTTAAAAACAAAGAAATTTAATAGATAAYTGTTGATACAAGATTTGAATTTGGTTTGCAATAGGAGGAGCTCCTAACGAATTTCTGTAAACCATATGTCTAAGTCAGACAATAGATTAAGTTGAACGTAGCCCCTATTTATAGAAGTAATTATTCGAATTATCTATCAATGATTTTCAATGATGATCTCGTTAATTTTTCGAACATCATGGAGAATTGATAACCTACGAGATATTTGGTGACGTGGTTTATAACGGTATTAGAGCGTCAACGCCTCTTAGTCATGAGGTTAGATTGGCCACCTTACCCTAGGGTAGTTAGTGGTCGACTTGACTCAACCACGTTGACATCTTAACCTTAGTTAATGCCACTCACTTTCGATAATCTTTTAATCTGGATCAAGTAGGATGAATTCACGATTTACTTCCAGGTTTTGCATCTAAATAACATTGAAATTAATATTTAAAAGTAAAAAAAAAAAACTTAATAGGTAATAGTAAATATACGACATTATCATACGCTTCCCATTTTTCGATGTGTACGACACGTGGCTAATCAACAGCCACAACTTTTTCCTTTGTTTTCTTTTTCTTTTTCTTTTTGGTTGTTGGAAAAGGAAAAAGGAAAAATTGATTCCAAACGTCCGCTTTTTGTCTTTTACCGAGAATTGGAAATGATAACGAGTGGCGTAGAAGGATTGGTGGAAAGTAGAAGAGAGTGGGTCCCTGGGCGGTGGTGGCTACTCAATAATGGATTTTGATTGGTCGGTCCAATCATGCCTCACCGGCTTGTCGTCTTAACGCGCACGTGACTGTAACGTTCACCCGCGATTCATCGCCTACAATTTCAACAGTGGAATGTGGATCCACCAAAATACAAACAATAATTTATTCTTTTCATCATCCAACCAATTTTAAGAAACCAAAAATAATAATTTATTCTATTTCGTCTCCTAATTTCAGAATCATACAATTAAACTTGGAAGGTTTTAGAACTATTAAATTTTAGTACGTTAAATTTGTGAAAACCTTTGTTATGTCTTTAATTCCCTCGAAATCGTAATTCTTTTAACTTATCGATTATAACCGGATGTTCTTTTGAACATTATAAACTCTAATACCATATTAATATTTCTCTCATCTAGTCAATATGAAACATTCTTCATACTCCCAACACAAACTCTTACTAGTTTAACCACTAAAATAAGATTATAATACTATGTTATTAGCACTAAAATTTACTTTCTCATATCAATTTGAATATTTATATTGTTCTAAAGTACAAAAACAATATTTATTTAACTACTAACTTTTATATTTCCATAGTACAACATTTTATTTATTATATTTCAATAATTTATTAAATAAAGTTTCAAAATTGAGTGATATATTAGGTAAAAAAACAAAAGAATTCTACGGACTATTTTGACTCACACCTCTGTTGTATATGTCAAAAAGAACCTTGACTGTCAAATTGGTGGAGTAGAAGAATTTTGAAAAAGTAACACTTGGCCGTATGTGSCCTATAGGAGGAGATGATATTTATAAAGTTAATGTGATTATTATTTCAGTGGACAATGTTGAAAATCTGAATATAATTTAATAGATAACATGTTATCATTTTGTGTCGATGATTCAATTCCCACCCAATAATTGTTAAACTCAAAACACATTAGATTGTTTGATATAATATTTTGAAGTGTACTAATAAAAGACTGGATGAGAGCATCACATCAACATAATTTTCTTCATTATTTGAGCAAGGCGTTGCTAGAATTGATCAAGTCTCAAATCTAGCCTCATGTTGTAAGGCATGAGCTCGCAAGTACAAGACTAAATTAGAGTGGGTTAACTGTTCTAGACATCAAGTATGCTTGCCTCAAAATGACCTAGTCGTGCAGTACAACGGGAGAGCAGAAGTTGTATGTTGCATTTGAGAAGGATGAATTGCTCTCGAAAAGGAATCTATTGATTCTCTCCCAATTGGTTCAACCATAGATGCAATGATTTACTTCACGGGATGAGGTTTCTGACCCAGCTACACCTCAATAATACGGTTCAGTAACAAATTGGTTCTTCCAAAACACGTCCTACTGGTTTTGCTCGCAAGAATCCTATGATCCATTCTAATTCTAATCTTCCTCTCCAATCAGATATTATTGTGTCAGTATAGACTGAAATTCGAACACAAACAAGTAAAAGATAATGTTTCTTGACGGAGAAGTAGCCACTGTTTGGCCATGTGGATATGACTCACCATAGATAGCAAAGATGAGAGATGAGGCTATGTAATGATTTCTACCCAATTCAGCTAAGTTTATAATTCCATTTGAGAAAGTGGTGTACAACAAAACATTTGAACCAACTAGAATAGATTAAAACTAAACAATTTAAACCTTAAATATTAATTAATTACCGACTAGTTTCAAACCTTCAAGAACCCCCAGGAAACGATCAGAAGAGAAGAGAAGAAAAGCAGAGCCACCTGCTGCCTCTGAGTGACAGTGAGATCACCAAAAAACGACAGAAAAATGGAAATGGGGCGGCACAAAAACACCATAACTTTAACTTATCATGAAATTTCCATTTAAATTTCAATTTCCAGTCACTATATATATTTCCATTTCTTCCCAACCCCTGCTCCACCATTGCTCTGTTTTCAAACAAACAAATTTTCAGTTCAATTTGCTTTGCTAATTTGACCATTTCGAGATGCCGAAGGATATCGAAGCAGGAGGGCGAGGTGGGTTCGGCGCCAAAGATTACGAAGACCCACCGCCGGCCCCATTGATCGACGGCCACGAGTTCGCTAAATGGTCGTTTTACAGAGCCATTATTGCAGAGTTTGTAGCCACGCTTCTGTTTCTGTATGTTACTGTTTTGACTGTGATTGGGTATAAGATTCAGAGCGATGTCAATAATGGAGGGGAGATTTGCGGCGGCGTCGGCATTCTGGGCATCGCTTGGGCCTTCGGCGGCATGATTTTTGTTCTTGTTTACTGCACCGCCGGAATTTCTGGTCAGTTTAACTTTAACCCCACGGTTGAATTGAATTGAAGGCTTCAAAATTTGAACTTTTGTTTTTGTTTTTGTTTTGGGGGTGTTTGCAGGAGGGCATATAAACCCGGCGGTGACGGTGGGGCTGTTGTTGGCTCGGAAGGTGTCATTGGTGCGAGCCGTGTTGTACATAGTGGCTCAGTGTCTAGGCGCCATTTGTGGATGTGCGTTGGTGAAATCATTCCAAAATGCTCACTACCATACTTACGGCGGTGGCGCCAACTCGCTCGCCGACGGCTACAGCACCGGCACCGGATTGGCTGCCGAGATCATTGGGACCTTCGTTCTCGTTTACACCGTCTTCTCCGCCACCGATCCAAAGAGAAACGCTAGAGATTCCCACGTTCCTGTAAGTTTGAGTAACTATTACGAGATGTTCCATATATAAATTAAACTTACTCTTGTTCATCCATATTAGAGCGGGAGGTCTTGTTCGAACTCCCGCATGTTCATCCTTGGGGGTGCTTTATTACCTTTAACAACTATCAAATTGGTTGAACACAATTAGCTATTTAATGGAACTAATTTGATGTTTAAAACTTGAAATGAAAGGTTTTGGCACCACTCCCAATTGGGTTCGCGGTGTTCATGGTTCACTTGGCCACCATTCCCATCACTGGAACTGGCATAAACCCAGCACGAAGCTTCGGAGCCGCAGTGGTTTTCAACGAAGACAAGCCCTGGGATGATCAAGTAAATTATACRTACCAAGTTTGAATTTCTTTCTAAATTTGAATTAAAGTTCTGTATTATATATCTAATGTTGTTTCTGTGTGGATGTGTATTTTTTGAACAGTGGATCTTCTGGGTTGGGCCTTTTATTGGTGCTGCCATTGCTGCAATTTATCACCAATTTATACTGAGAGCAGGGGCAGCCAAGGCTCTGGGATCATTTGGGAGCTCCTGAATGATAATGATGGTGGTGCTTCTTCTACCTTCAAATTTGGTCGGAGAAAATGGAAAATATTAAGCCTAATTGGCAAAAATGCCGATTGTGGTCTGTACAAAAGGGCACTGGTTATTTTTTATTTATTTATGCCCATATCCACTTTTGCTCTGTTTTTATGTAATAAATAACAAGATCTTGTGCTGTTTATTATTGTGAATGCATGTGCCTTGGATTTTATCTTTTGATTTATTGATTATCTTGAACATACAAATTGAAGCACTTCAAAAGGCATTGAGTTTAATTGATGGAGCACCTCAATTGCTTAATCTATTTAAAGGCTAAATTTAAAAAAAAAAAAAAACCTGGACTTTATCTAAGAGTTTCAATACTACTCTTGATCTTTCATAAATGGTTCAAAAATAGTTTCTCAAAAAACATCCGTTAAAAAGTTGACACGGTAGAATTTAGAGCGACGTGTCAGAACAAAACAAATAATTTAACAGCGAAAAATGTCAACTCTAATATACCTTTTATTAGAGTATTATTAATGACGACGTAAATGTGTTAGCACCTGATACAAGGATGATTAGGTAATAGGAATAATTGCTTCCTCAATATACAAAATAAAGAAACATCAAACAAATTCTTATAATTATATATAATTAGCTAATAAAAAGAAGGCTCCAACATGGATGATTGATTCTACCATCATTTTGGGTCATAAAACGACCAACTTTCATTCGATAAGATAGAGAACATCCCAACTGCACTAGATAAAACCCTAATTTCTCCTGAATTATACAAATTTTGGATCATAATCTATCTTTCTTCCAGTGTTAAAAGGATAAAAAGGTTAAACTACTTGGACCATCTCCTTTGTTCTAGATTTGTAACGAGATCCCTCATTTCATATTGTTCTCTATTGATAAAACTAACAAAGTTGTCGACAAAGAATGACGTAAGAAAAAGAAGAAAGAAAAAAAGGAAGGAAATTTCAAGACAACGACAGTTGCCATCGATGGAAAGACGAAAAGAGAGAAAGGAGAAGAAAAAATGAAGACAAAGAAGAAGATCTAGAGAAGAATAAGTCCTAGTAACTGAAAAATAATATAAAATCAATATAATTTGTTAAATTAGTAAGTCCAATCAACTGGTAACTAGTATCTCATTTTTTCAATGTTATCCAACTCAAATAATGTTATTAAACTATATAAAACTATTTTCCAAACTTAAGATTTAAAAATGTATGGATATTAAAAGTTATAACCAAACAACTATGATACAAATAATTCTCAAAACAAGGACATCCAAACAGCTACAGCCGATCCAAGGAGGAACTGACAAACTGGACGATGCATTGCACTGCACACAATAATTTCAGCAAAATTAACAACAATGTTTTTTCCATGTCTTCAGCGAGCAATAAAATCTCGACACGTGGATCTCCCAGAGCCATAAATCTTAACACACGTAACTCTCATTTTCTGCCTTGGGAATTTTGTTGACTGGACCGACCAAATTTTTGAGGTATAGAATAAAGATCTGATGATTGCGATGTGATTACGTGGCACGAATTGATTGGTAGGTGGTTTCCAGTGCGGCGGGACCCTGTTGAAGATGGACGGTGGTGGTGAAATGATATGAATCATAAGATTTTCAATTTAGTCGGTTCAATCACACATCACCACTGTCGTCCCACTTATTCCACGTGACTTAACATGACGCTAACGTTTTTTTCTTCTTTTTCTTTTTTTCCTTTAAAGTTCTCCATTTAATTTTTTTATATTCATTTTATCCATTTGAATTTTAATATATAAAATTAAACCTTAAAACGGCTACGTTATATTATACCCTCCTCAACTAATTCTTTTTCTTTTCTTGTAAATATTAAAATTTGTGGCTATCCTTGTAGTTAGTGTTTTTCCGCATGATTGATTTTTTTTTCTCTAATTACGTTTTGATATTTTGTCATTTAGTTTACATTTTCCTTCTACACTTTTATGATTCAATAAAAAATAATGTTAAAATTGATACAAATAGTTACAAATAGTTTTATGTTGGCCTTCATTTGTCGGTAAATTCTTTTTTATTAGCTTTAATATTTTTATGATTTTTAATTGAAAATATATAAAGATAATACAAGTTATTGATGAGTATAATTTTACTTGGACTTACTTTTTTTTCCTCTAATCGAGCTTTCTATTTTACTTATAAAAAATTTAACGGTAATTAGCGTGAGTCATTAATAGTAAAGTATTTGCAATATATAATCGAATAATACCTAGGTATTAACTAGTCACTGAGTATATTTTTATTAACAACTATATATATACACACTTTTAATTTAGTTGTCAAAAACATAACGGTGATTATTTTACTTTGCTAGACAAGTATTCAATAGCCAAATATGTGTATCGGATTCGAAATTCGGATTTATCACCTAATTGATACTGTGACCTGGTAGCATCACCGTCTTTATCTAAGCTTTGTCATCGACTCAAGATTGCTCCAAGCCAAGCACGTGAAATTCTTATGATTGAGTAAAAAAAAAAAAGTCTTTCGTAACGATACTTCCATAATCTCAATATTCATCTTATTCAGGTGTGGTATCGATTCATCGAGTAACCCTTTCTCTACCCATAATATCAGGGTTCTTTATAGTTTTCAATCATCCAAAAGAATAATAATTAAAATGATAAGAAAGACATTTATTTAAGAAAAAAGACACAAATAAATATATATTATTTAAGAGCGAATTGCTCCCTGGAACCTTGTGGAGGATTTAGGCCATGGAGGCCCAAATGCAGACATCTGAGCCTGAGCGAGTGTGGGGTCAAAGAAAGTGAAAGAAAGACGAAATTTTGGCGAAATGGGGCGGCAGGAAAATCCCAAACACTCCATTACTACTCTCCTTGCCCCTTGTATAAATCTCCANAAGAAGAAGAAGAAGAAGAAGAAGAAGAAGAAGAAGAAGAAGAAGAAGAAGAAGAAGAAGAAGAAGAAGAATGACACCTATAATTTTGAAAGGAAGACTTTGCAGAAAATGAGACATAATTCATTAAATACCCAAATTGGAATACAATGGGGCAGAGTACGGGGAAATAAATAACAAACGACAGTTTTCTACCACAAAATGGCAGGATTCAATAAATTAGCTAAAGTAACACCAAATATCAATTTCATCACTACCCTCTGCAGCTGATTCTCTTTGTTTTCAAATTATAGTGTGTTCTTCCTCCATTTTCTTTCTTCTCAGTTCTCAACATAAGAGAGCAATGTCCAACAATGTTGGCGCCAAGGACTACCACGACCCGCCTGCAGTCCCCTTGATCGACGCCAAGGAGTTCAGCCAGTGGTCATTTTACAGGGCCATCATCGCCGAGTTCGTCGCCACGCTTCTCTTCTTGTACGTCACTGTTCTCACTGTCATTGGCTACAACCACCAGTCCAACACCAAAAACGGCGGCGAAATCTGCGGTGGCGTCGGCATTCTCGGCATCGCCTGGGCATTCGGCGGCATGATCTTCGTCCTCGTCTACTGCACCGCAGGAATTTCTGGTGGGTTCTCTTCTATTCCTCTGTTTCTCTGTCAATTGGGTTATGGTCTGATTACCATTTAATTTGAATTTTGCAGGAGGGCATATTAACCCCGCGGTGACTTTTGGGCTGTTTCTTGCTCGAAAGGTGTCTCTGGTGAGAGCCGTTTTATATATGGCGGCGCAATGTTTGGGCGCAATTTGTGGGTGTGCGTTGGTGAAGTCATTCCAAAAGGCTCACTACATTGAGTACGGCGGTGGAGCCAATCAGCTCGCCGTTGGGTACAGCACCGGCACCGGCTTAGCCGCGGAGATCATCGGAACTTTCGTTCTTGTTTACACCGTCTTCTCTGCCACCGATCCCAAGAGGAACGCCAGAGATTCTCACGTTCCTGTAAGTTTTTAGTTTCATTCCCAAACTGGGTTTGACCTCATTTTACTCGAGTGAACTAATCTTGTTTGAATATTTGAAATTGAAGGTTTTGGCGCCACTCCCAATTGGGTTCGCGGTGTTCATGGTTCATCTGGCCACCATTCCGATCACCGGAACCGGCATCAATCCCGCTCGGAGCTTGGGGGCTGCTGTGATCTTTAACAAAGACAAGATATGGGATGACCAGGTAACTTCTCCTTCCTCAATTTCTCTTTTGTTTTTCAGATCAAGAAGTTGAAGCTCTGATGTTTTTTACTTTTGAACAGTGGATCTTCTGGGTTGGCCCCTTCATTGGAGCTGCCATTGCTGCAATTTATCACCAAATTATATTGAGGGCAGGCGCTGTTAAGGCTCTTGGATCGTTCAGAAGTTCCACCGCCGTGTAAATCTTGTCCAAATCTCCATTCTTCTGTGTTTGGGGACAAGAAGTGTGAACTGAAGGCACTTGTTTTATGTGTGCCCTCTGCCCAATTGCTCTGTTTTTGGTTCCCTCTTTTCTTTTGCTTTTCCTCTGTTTTTCTCTGCCAATTATGTAACTCTGGGCTTTGTTTGAATGCAAAATTGATCCCAATCAAGTGGGTTATGTTTATGGTTTATGATAATTTGTGCCATTTTCATTTACATTTTGCCTTTTTAGTTGAAGATATAGAAAATCCTTCATTATGTCAATATGATCTTTATATGGGAAAAAGAACCCACCGAATACCAATACGCACTAATAAATTTGAGATTGATACAGTACTTAATTCATAATCCAATATTTTGCATTGGAAAGGCTAAAATTGGCAGGAAGCCATAAAAGTAAAATCTTTTTCATAGGGCATTTTTTTTTTTTTTATCTCATTTCTTTCCTCAAATTCTTCAACTTCTATAATGATGGTGTTAAAAGAGTTTTTTCTTCCACAAATAATGATCTGTGGAGTCCAATTTGGCTTGCCCTGTTGAGATGGTTTGTGGTCTAACTTGACAAATTGGGTCAGGTCAAGTGAGTCCAAGAGCAATGAAGTGGAGATACTAGATGTTGGGTTTTGTGTGGCTCAAATCATCAAGAAGGCTTGGTTGAAGTTGCAAGGTGTGCAACTAAAGCTTCGTATTGGTTAAGGAAGAGAGTGATTGACGATTATTTTCATTGATATAAAGCATTTTGGTTAAAATCAAGAGTAAAGCTATAGGAATTATGTTCAAAGGAGAATATCAGATTGTTTTTTAGAGTTGAAATTAAAAGAAATAGAGAAAGGAAACAAAGGAGGTGCTGCCACACATGACAGCATCAAGAAGCTGAGAAGATATTGCTTAGGCACCTCCCACACCACTATGACGCTATCCTAGGACTTGAAGCCTTTTCTGATTTCCAGAGTGCCATGGTGCCCCTTTTAGGGAGCTAGTTCACACAGCTAATAAAGTCAAGACATTTTCTATATAAATGAGTCTTTTCTGAGAGTCGTTGGGAACTGGTTGAGAGGAGAGTACTACAACCGTTCATCTTGAAGCATGAGAGATATACAACAGAGAGAGTTTAGACAAATATTGATGTGGTTCACTAGAGTGCCAACTGACCATTATTGTGGTAAGTTAAGAGTTTTGTAGAGTGTTGAAAGATCTCATTGTATTCTTCCTGTTATAGTAGAACCTGAGTGATACTTGAGCAATACTAGACTCATCATCTCGTACTTTTCGACTCGTCCAACATGTATGTATGCAATTAGTCAACTCAGTACTCTTTGCCAATTGGGAAACATTAAGTAGGTGAGGAAGGAGGAGAACGGCATGTGTAATTTAATAAGGTGGGATCAAACTGTCTCCTGTATAACTGCAAGAGATGGGTAGTAGAAAGCATTTAATAAGTCTTAAATTCACATTACCAAGCTTAGCTTTAACTAAACTTAGAGAATCAAATTAAACAAGGTTCTTCAATAGTTGCCTGATCCGTTTTGTTTTGAATGAAGAGATCACTCTGGTCCCAATCCTTCTAAGATGCAAGAGCTGCACTGAAAATGTTGATAGCTACCTGAGCAGAACAACCCAGAACCAGAACCAGAACCAGAGAAAGAAGAAGAAGAAGAAGAAGAAGAAGAAGAAGAAGAAGAAGAAGAAGAAGAAGAAGAAGAAGAAGAAGAAGAAGAAGAATGACACCTATAATTTTGAAAGGAAGACTTTGCAGAAAATGAGACATAATTCATTAAATACCCAAATTGGAATACAATGGGGCAGAGTACGGGGAAATAAATAACAAACGACAGTTTTCTACCACAAAATGGCAGGATTCAATAAATTAGCTAAAGTAACACCAAATATCAATTTCATCACTACCCTCTGCAGCTGATTCTCTTTGTTTTCAAATTATAGTGTGTTCTTCCTCCATTTTCTTTCTTCTCAGTTCTCAACATAAGAGAGCAATGTCCAACAATGTTGGCGCCAAGGACTACCACGACCCGCCTGCAGTCCCCTTGATCGACGCCAAGGAGTTCAGCCAGTGGTCATTTTACAGGGCCATCATCGCCGAGTTCGTCGCCACGCTTTTGTTCTTGTACATCATTGTTCTCACTGTCACTGGCCACGCCAGCCGGACCGACCCGGCCAATGGCGGACAGCCGTGCGCCGGCGTCGGCATTTTGGGCATTTCCTGGGCAGTTGGCGGCATGATCTTCGTCCTCGTTTACTGTACCGCTGGTATTTCTGGTGAGTCTCACAAAAATTGCCCCTTTTGGGTCTAAAAATTAAGATTTGAAAAGTTTATGGCTTGGCAATGGCAGGAGGGCACATTAATCCGGCGGTGACGTTCGGGCTGTTTCTGGCTCGAAAGATCTCTCTGGCGAGAGCTGTGTTGTACATGGGGGTACAATGTTTGGGGGCCATTTGGGGGTGTGCGTTGGCGAAATCATTTCAGAAGGCTTATTACGATCGCTACGGCGGCGGAACCAACGTTCTCGCCGATGGATACAGCGCCGGCACCGGCTTAGCCGCAGAGATCATCGGAACTTTTGTTCTGGTTTACACTGTCTTCTCTGCCACCGATCCCAAGAGGAACGCTAGAGATTCTCACGTTCCTGTAAGTTTTTAGTTTAATTCCCGAATTGGGTTTGGGCTCAATTGAACTAATCTTGTTTTGAAATCGAAATTGAAGGTTTTGGCGCCACTCCCAATTGGGTTCGCGGTGTTTATGGTTCATTTGGCCACCATTCCGATCACCGGCACCGGCATAAACCCAGCTCGAAGCTTAGGAGCTGCTGTGATCTTTAACAAAGCCAAGGCCTGGAATGATCATGTAATTTCTCCTTCCCCCAATCAATCCCCATCTTTAAGATTTTGGATCTTGTTTTTTCAGATCAAGAAATTGAAGCGTTTCTTTTAATTACTTTTATGAACAGTGGATCTTCTGGGTTGGCCCCTTCGTCGGTGCTACCATTGCTGCAATTTATCACCAAATCATAATGAGGGCAGGTGCAGTTAAAGCTCTGGCATCGTTCAGAAGTTCCTCCGCCGTATAAATCTTATCCAAATCTCCATTAATGTCGTGAGTTTGGAAAGAGGAAAAATGTGACTTTTCTTCCACCAAATTCCAAAGCCACTTGTTTGGTCGGTGAACTCTTCCCAATTGCTCTGTTTCTCCGTTCCTTTTGCTTTTCCTCTGTTTTTCGCTACCAATTCTGAACTCATCGCTCTGTAATTTTAACGCAAACTTGTTCTAATCAAAAGTTATATTTGCTCTTAATGATAATTATGCCATTCATATCAACACATGCCTTTTTGAGTTGAAGATGTACAAAATCAGAAACAATAGATAGATAAACTTCAAATCTCTATATATACACACATAAATCATTACCCAATATTTTGCATTGAAAAAGTTGCAAACTTTTCCCAACACAAAGCTAAAAATGGCAGAGTAAAACACATAAAGCTAAATGGATGTGAATGTAGCTATGGTTGTTTTGTGTCGTTTGTTTCCTCGAGTTCTTGGTCTTCAAAAATGGTGTCCAAGCGAGGAGAGTGAGAAGTCTTGATGGGGAAAAGAAATGGAGATGGTGGTTTCTCGATCCAATTGCTCAGAATTGTAGCCTTCTCTGCCATRGAAGCCACTGTTAGTGAGGCTTAAGTTTCAAGAGAGAGAGAGAGAAGATGATTGATTTTTGGTTGAGATGGGAAATTGATTAGTGGGGTGCCATTTTTATAAGGGTCTCTGTATTACATAGACATCACACCACCGAGTGAATGAAGCTTCACAGAAACCACCAAAAAGATTGTAATCCAACACACCTTAAATAAGGATGTCTTTTAATAAGCTCGTGTGAGAAACATGCCCATAATTCTCTATTCCTTTCTCGTCTCCTCTCCTTATTACATTAATTTCCATCATACACTATTCTTTCATTAATAATAATAAAGCTTTAGCAGCTAGCTAATTGATACTGTGACTTGCTCGCATCTTCGAACGATGCTTTCATGGCTACATCTGACGCATTCCTATCGTTCCAAATAACCCAATAGATCACCCCAGTTAAAGAAATTTCTCTAATGCTATATTATGCCTCTACACCCTGTAATGCTTGTGCTCTACTACCAAGCGGGGAGAATGTATAGTTGTTTATACATTATGAATGTTTCCCTTATCCAATCGATGTGAAATTTTGGTAACATTCCCAAGATATAAAAATAAAAAACAAAATAGAATAATAATCTATTTAAAGAAAAAAACTTTAAATAAATGAATATATTAAGAAAATAATAATTGACAAGTATATTTACAAAACAAAAAGAAACATATATATTTACAAAATAATAATAAAGCTGTACAATGTCATAAATTCAAAAGACATGTTATTTTGTACAATAATTAACACTCTCATCTTTCATCTTCTCCATCAGAGAAAACATGGATCTGGTTTTGAAAAAACAGTAGCTCCCTAACATCTCTCCGACCCTGCAAATTTAATCCACTACAGTCATTCCTTGGCATCCACAAAATTTGGGGACCGCCATGGCTGTGGATTGAGAGGATGAAACTGAACCAAATTATAATCTGGTTGCCTTAAATTCATGAAGCTTCATCATATTCTTCTGGAGTTTCTTCTGTGATTGGTTCCAATGAAGGAGCAGTGGAAGGTTTGTTTGGGAAAATGACTGGAGATGGAGCAACCTCATAAACCCAGCTCCTCAAATTTCTAACTTGCTTTGCCATTTCTCAAATGGGGGTTTAATTTCCTCAAAGTTCTTGCAAAATGGACCTCAAATTTGCTCGATTGTTTTGTGTATTGGAAAGTAGAGAGAGGGAATTTATATAGAGAAGAGGAAATTGAATGGCAATCTGCCCTTGAATCTTTCAAAGAGAGCCTTAGAATTGACGCTTTCTTGTTACTATTTTTGGGTTTACCATTAATGCTTTATTTTTGGGTTTACTATTAATGTAAAAAAAAAAAAAAAAGAAAAGAAAAGAAAGTGAGTAATTTTAAGTAGGTATGTGTTTTTGGGAAGTGGGACACTATTTTTAAAATGGTAGAGAAATGGTGGCCACATGTGGGATAGTTTTGTCGTTAAATATGGTGGAATTAAGTTGCAAATCTTCTAAATTTCAGTGGGTTGAGTTTAAATATAGACGTAGATTTAAAAATAAAATAAGAAATATACTAATTTCGAAAACACCATTTGATAGCAATAAAAAGTTATCCTTACTTTGCAAAAAGGAAAAAAAAAGTTATTATAATTGTAATTAGTCATATTTATTGAGTTGGAAAGAGATCGGGAAAAGTTTCTCACRTAAATATATGCATTGAGATGGAATTTAAAAGTTAACCTTGTTGAAATAATCTTAATTAATATGATTTGGTAAAACCTTACAAATTAATTTTAAATATATTTTTTTATTAATTTAAAATATTAACTTATTTTCCTCTCTTTTTTACTCAAATTTAAGCTCTAATTATAAAGTAATTAGCCTAATAAGTGTTCCGTATTGAGTAGATAGTAGATAGTAGCAAGAGAGACCATTCATGAGATTTTATGTGACTATAGAGATCAAATTTAAAAYCGTTGAAATCATAGAGATTAAATTGAAATTAAGTTCAAATCCATTTATTAAAATTTTTTAAAATTGTGGAGACTAATGGCAATTTTGCATACAAATATTATTAGTGAATTTCTGAAGAAAAGGACGAAAGGCAAATAATAAAATCTCAGATATATAAGAGAGAAACAAAAACCCATATTGAGCATTGGATTTGATCTAGTTTTGGCAAGTTTACAAGAACCCAGCATCCAATAACTCCATAATTAATTTCCCAATAAAGAGCTTAAAGTGCCATGAAAATAAAACTAAAAAACTTGAACAGAAGAAGAAGAAGAAGAAAGAGCAAGGATAATTGATGTGGGAATGGAGGAGGCATCGTTTTGGGTAATTTCCTGAGCTTCATCTTCTTCTGCAATAGTCTCCAAGCGAGGAGAGTACTGTGAAGCTTTAATGGTGGAAACAAGTAGAGCTGGTGCTTTCTCTATCAAAATCCTCAAAACTTTAACTTTCTCTCCCATCATTTCCATGGAAAAAAACCTTAACCAACACTTCTTTCTGAGAATTGAGGATCATAACGCAAACTCTAATTTAATATATATAGACAGATTGAGAGAGAGATTCAAAGTGGGTGTCTTTTTCCTACTTGGAAGTTGCAAGAGACTCTATCCTATTAGAAAAAGGAATTTTAACACTATTGAATCACAATCCTACGAAAATTCCTAACATTTAGAGAAACATATATACCTCCAAAAAATATATATATTTATTTATTTATAGTGCCATTATATTAGTAAGTGGTATTCATCAATTAGTTTTTAACCMTGCCACTAACAAAAGTTAAAGTGATGATGTGAGATCCATTATGTAAGTAATAGTATTGTTTAATCTTATGATCCAATRTTGTCATTAGTTTTTAGCCACGAGACGAATCCAAAATTTTCGTTCAGGAACTTTACTAAATTTTTATGTCGATTAATAAAATTTGCCCCAGTCTACAAGCCAATTTTTCTATCAATATTTTAACAGCATAATATTAAAAGAAAAAAAAATCAGTATCAATGGTAGTACTCCTACCCTTTTAACAATTTTGCTGATGTGGTAAGTTTTAGAGTAATATTTAAATACAAGTACAAGCACAAAATGTGTAATTTGTAACAATTGTAAACATAGGAGTTAATATTTGCTTAAAATTAGGATGTAAGGGGTATGATATTTTTGCAACTTCACCCAAAAAAAAGGAAGGAAAAAAACACACAAATAGGTAGAAAATGCACATTTCCAAATGGTGAGAGCTATTGAACTAATATTCCCCAACAATAAAATTAACTTCGTCATGATTTTGTCAAAACGGACATAGCTCAAGAATAATTAACATATATCTCCAACTAAAAARTTTTGAGTTAGAAGTTGTACTTAACAAAAATTTCATCCTGAATTGGACGAAGAGCAGTGGGTTATAGATGGAGAGAAATAGGTCCCTTCTCTCTCATGATCTATTTCTTCAACTTCTTCCTCTTCACGAATAGTCTCCAACTCAGGAGATAGAGATGTCTTGATTGGGATGACAACCAAAGCTGGTGCTTTCTCAACCCAGAAACTCAAAACTTCAACTTTCTTCGCCATGGCCATGGGGTTCTTCTTAGATCAAAAGGGTTTCAACCAATCAGCCAAAAGCAAAAAACTTTGAACTTCTTTTTGAGGAATAATAAAGATGGGATTCCAATCAGTAGTGCATATATATAGAGAGAGAGAGAGAGATCATAGAGATTAGTGATTTTGGCTGATTAAGCTATCTGTGGAATGCCCTGCCGTGGAGGGTTGTTTTAATTAAGACCATGTGGAAAATATAGGCGATGTTGTAATGAAATGACCCTCCAACCAATGGGCAGTACCACCACCACGTCCTCATGTTTTTATCCTTTATTGGAGGAAGAAAAAAATACAATCTTTTTTGCTTTTTGTGTGTGGGAAGTGACATGTGTTTGCATAGAAGATGACCTGATTTGTGGATTTGTCACTTCGTATTTATGGGTTCTAAATAAGAAAATTTATAGGGCTGAGTGCTGGAAAATGTGCATGAAGGGTGTAGAGCGTACATGTTTAAGAATTAAGGGATTGTTGTAAATAGTTTAGAGTTATTGTCTAATTGAAATAACTCGTGAATGTTTATGAGTCATAGATGCAAAACAGTGGGTATTAGTTATGGTGATGTAGGAGCTTACACGCAAGTGATCTGGGTGGACTTCGCTTCGATTGTGATGCTTGATCCCATACATTTCGAAGCTTAAGTTGGATATTTAGTTTAAATTAGCGTCGAGCTGAGCTCAATTGAATGCACTAGAGATTATGTACCTTTGAGAAAGTAGGAACTTTGCATTTTATAGGAGAGCATTGGGAAACGACGCCTTGTAAATGTGGTTATAACCGTACCTATCATTTGACAGATGTAACCTTACCTATCATTTGACAGATGTTCTTTCGACAGTCAAAAAATCCTCTACCAACTGAATTTTTTTGATTAGCCAGGAGTCAGCGAGCTTTTCACCTTTGTGCCCCTATACCTAGGATATGTGCAGTGTGCACTGTCCCCATATCCGTACATGCGCAAAGGGTCATTAYTTGGTGGAGTTACGTTCCATGTGAGTTGAACMAAAGATCTCAAGGATATTCCTTGAGGCCCCAAGCCACACTCAAGCTATCCCTTGGGGACCTCTACCAASAGAATTGACGTC